CCAAATTGTTGAAATACGAAAGAAATTGAGGCCCACAGGAACATGCCAATTCATAAATATAGAACTAGCTGTTTTTACTACTGAGGAAAAAAACCCTAAATGCACGCAGATACAGCCTGTAAGATGGCTACAGAACTATAATGAATTTTCTTCTCTATTTGTGGAATTAGAGCTACAGTTTGTAAACATCATCCTACTCTTTTAGTAAACACTCAACAGACAGTTAATTTGCACCAGTAGCTACATTGTGCTCACTCTGACACCCTGTTTTTCATATTTTTTTTTATCAGGCTTACTCTTTTTATAATTCTTTATCAGAGCCTCCTACCCTTGCCCCTTATATAGTAACCAGCACATATGATTAGTCACATCCTTCAACACGCCTCATAAGGTTAGGTCAAGTTCAGTCTCCCCCAGCCTCTCCCAGTCTGTAAGTCCCACCTGCAGTTTGGAGCTACCTGGTAGTTGTCTGCTCAGGCTTTCACTGTTACTAGGGATGATTCTGGGCCTTGGCAGCTAGCAGGGACTTCCATGCCAGCAGCAGCCATTCCAGGGATTTCCTAGCTGGCATTCATTTGTTTGGCCTAATCAGGAGAGGATTGGCTAGGGAAGTATTGGACATGCAGGGACCAAACCTACACATCCCCACTTGCCTGCTTCTTTCTGTCCCACCCATAGAGAAGACATTAGCCTGCCCCCATGTGAGATCTGAGGCTGGGCCAACTGCTGATTGCTTTAAATCTGATTTCAAGTTACTATGGGGTTTTACTCTACCTGGATGTGGAATTACTATGTTTGAGAGAAAACACGCCTTCACCTTTATAAAGTATTGCCAAATTGCTCTCCTAAATAGTCATACCATTTATACTCCCACCTGTAATGTATGAGTTCCTACTTTCACACATCCTTGGCAACATCTGGTGTTTGCAGACTTTTATTTTTTCCAGTATGATGGGTGTGAAGTGGTGTCTCACTTTAGCTTAATTTGCATTTCTTCACTGTTGAGCATCTTTTCATGTTTGTTGGTCATTTGGGTTTCCTCTCTTGAGGATTCACTGTTCATATCTATTGCCTTAAAAAAAAAATGGTTACCCTTCTCAATGTATAGGAGTACTTTATGTATCACGAGTACTAGTCTTTATCAGTCCTATGTATTGAAAATACCTTCTTCCAGGCTATGGCATTTTTATGGAGTCTTCTTCATAAAGAAGTTTTATGTGCTCAAATGTATCATTCTTTTCCTTGATAGTATGTGATTGTGTCTTCTTTTAGAAGAATCTCCCTATCTTGACATGAATGTCTCCTTTAATTTCTTCTAAAAAGTTTTACAGTATTTTCATTTTTAAATCTTTGATCTATATACAATTTATTTTTATGTATGGTATGAGGTAAAAATACAATTTTATTTTTTCCACATAAATAATTAATTGCCCTAGTACCATTTGTTAAATGATCCATCTTTTCTTTATCTGTAATGACACTTTATGATTTATACACACGTGTGTGTATGTGTGAGAGAGAGAGATCTTAGGCTCACTTGTCTGTTATACTTTTTCTGTTTTATTATTTTTGCCAGTAAAACACCAATTGGATTTCTGTAGTTTTATGCACAAGTATTGATAGCTAGTGGGGAAGTTCCTCCTCTTTTGTTCTTCAGAATTGCTTAACTATCCTTGGCCTTTTATTTTTCCATACTAATTTTAGGATCAGCTTCTCAAGTTCCATAAAAAAAACACTTTCAGGATTTTTATTGGGATTTCAGTGCACTTATAGATTAATTTGAGAATTGCCATCTTCATACATTGAGTCTTACCATCCATGAAACTGGTATATTGTTCCTTTCATTTAGGTTTTCTCTTACTCCCTTTAAAACAGGTTTTCAATTTTCATTTTCTCTATAAGGCTCTTGGGATATCTTTTCTTCTTTAGATCTGTTTCGTTTTTGTAACTATTAAAAATGGCGTCATTTTTCAAATTAAAATTTTCTTTTTTTGCAGTATGCGGGCCTCTCACTGTTGTGGCCTCTCCCGTTGCGGAGCACAGGCTCCGGACGCGCAGGCTTAGCAGCCATGGCTCAGGGGCCCAGCCGCTCCGCGACATGTGGGATCTTCCCGGACCGGGCCACGATCCCGTGTCCCCTGCATTGGCAGGCGGACTCTCAACCACTGCGCCACCAGGGAAGCCCTAAAATTAAAATTTTAAATTGGTTTACTGGTGTATAGCAACCCTAATCTTTAATAACGTATTGTCAAAGAACATTGTATGATAGATTCTTGATGTCTGTTGAAATCTGTTCTGTGGCCTAGTGCACAGCCAATGTGTTCTTGTTCCATGTGTTCTTGAAAAGGTTTTCTCTTTAATTTTGTACAGGGTTTTGTATATGTTCATTAGGTCACCTGTAATCGATTATTCACTTGTCTGTATTCTTACTAAATGTTTTCTGCTTCACCTGTCAATTAGTATGATTGTGGATTTGTTTATTTCTTCTTGTCATCCCGTGATCTTTTGCCTTACACTGAGTTCACAATTATTATAGCTTCCTTGTGAATTGTTCCCTTTTTACTATTATGTAATAACTTTTTACCCCTGGTAATGTTTCTGCCTTAAAATATATTTTTTTCTGATATTCATAGAATTTTCTGTTGGTTTATGGTATGAGTAAGGCAGCAGTTAAGGATGTGTTTAGCTGCAAATAACAGAAAACTTCACTACAGTTTTTTAAACAAATGTCGGGGAGGTATTTTTTCTCAAATAACAAAATCAGAGATTGATGTGGGTCCATCAACAGTTGATATGGTTCTATTTGCCATTCACAGTGTGGTGCCTCTCATCCTCTTGCTCGCGTTCTCCCTAGGAGGTTTTGTGGGAAGGGGGTGTGGGGCTGTGGGCAGAGGGGAAGAGCAGATAATCGGAACGACCTGTTGTCAGTGTCGCACATGGTATAATACCTGGGTTAGCATCTGTAGAATCTTAGTCCCATGTTTGTAAGTGGTTTGCTGTTTTCGCACAGTTTATGAAAGTTATTTAGTTAGAAAGATGGAATCTTCTCTTTCTACAGTAAAATGTGATGGTTGTCTTTACCAAGTGAAGTCACCTGGAAGAAAATGCTTATGCAGTCCTCTCTTTAGAGCCAGAAGCAGTTAAATTCTTAAGTCTCAGTAAACCAAATGTCATACTGACTAGCAAAGCATAATTTAGATCTCAAAGCATTAATGCAAAATAAAAATATACTTGGGTCTTAGCAAGTTGAGTTTTGTATTTAGGAATAATTAGTATATATATTCTCACGAGAGAATGCCATCATTTTTTAATTTTTTATAAATTTATTTATTTTATTTATTTATTTTTGGCTGTGATGGGTCTTTGTTGCTGTGCGCAGGCTTTCTGTAGTCGTGGAGAGTGGGGGCCACTCTTCACTGTGGTGTGCAGGTCTCTCATTGGGTGGCTTCTCTTGTGGAGCACGGGCTCTAGGGCTCTCGGGCTTCAGTAGTTGTGGCACGCAGGCTCAGTAGATGTGGCTCGCAGGCTCTAGAGCATAGGCTCAGTAGTTGTGGCGCATGGGCTTAGTTGCTCCGCAGCATGTGGGATCTTCCCGAACCAGGGCTCGAACCCATGTCGCCTACATTGGCAGGCGGATTCTTAACCACTGCGCCACCAGGGAAGCCCCAGCTATCATTTTTTATATTTCTTCAGAAGACTGCTTAAATTTCAGTATTTTCCATGAAACCTAGCATCACTCTGTGTCATTTGCTGGGGCATTGTTGAGGCCATCAGGTATCCCTTCTTTCCAAGAAAATGTGCCTCAAACTCCCCCTTCCCTTATCCCTTTCTCTGAGACTTTCAGTGCATCTGATTTCATCTCTAATGTTGTCCCAGACCATTAGGACAGGTCTGTGGAACATAAACGGTTTCTGAGGTTTGCATTTATAGCCTTCAATACCTATAAAGCAAGTTGGTCCATTTCTGTTTTGTCCTTCAAACATGAGTAGTCATATTTAGATAGTTTTAGTGCTTCCCAGGGGACCACTAGAACAGTATATTAATATACCTAATGTTTGATTTATGCTAAAAGATAACAGAGCATTTACTTACCTTATTCCATTCAGTGCACCTTAGCCCAAGAACAAAGAATATCTGTCTCCATTATAGATAAGAATGGAGCCTTCAGTGCTCAAACTGTAAAAAAATGTACTTATTGCATTCAAAGCAGGAGACTGTTTCTTTTAAAACATTAGAATAGTGTTACTTTGAATTATTAAGTTAAAGTACACAAGCAGAGCCTGGTGCTAGATAAATATTTATTGAATGACTACACTTTTAGTTGGGCATTTTCTTTTAGGCACTAAAACTGCTAATCCAATTTTGAATGCCCTTTTGTCATCATTAATCCTTGTGCAACACAATATTGTTAAACAGAAACCAGGTGTCTTTTCACTGAAGGACGGAAAGTGTTTCTTGTATGAGATTAAGCATTGAGTTTTTCACTTTAGTGCATGTGTGTATGTTGTTTTACATTGGTCACCTGATAAATTTTGTGCATTGCTTAATCACTGGATTGAAATATACACATAGGAACTCTTGAAAAGGAAGAGTTTTTAGAAACTCTTAAGTATTCCATTCCACTGTTTTTACAGATTTTTTTCTATGTGACTTCTTTTTTACATTTGACTGAATTACTCTCATTGTGGCTGAGGCCCGTTTTTCCCTCTCCTATCAAAACGAGCTTGTATCTTTCTAACTAGTTAACCTTTACAACCTCACATTTGAAAACTCAGTTTTCTTTATTCTTCACACAGTAATCATCCCAGTTTTCTTTTTGTTCTTCACAGATTTTTCACTCCTCGGTTATCTTAATGTTTCTCTGAACCCTAAAACTCTATCTTAAATTTGAATTTCTTATTAATATTTTAATTATGTTATCACATCTGTTTACAAATTTGAATTAATGGAGTCAAATTTAGGTTTTGTTGTGTTTTAAGTGTTCTAAAATAATCTTTTAGCCATGGAAACAAAGAAGTCTTTTCCTGCCGAGGAATAAAATTAGCAGTGGATTGGTTTTTGGAAAGAGGCCACAAGGATGTTACCGTCTTTGTCCCTGCTTGGAGGAAAGAGCAATCCCGACCTGACGCACTCATCACAGGTGAGCCCGCAAGCTTCCGTGTGTACCTGAGCCAGTGTCTTGCTGAATAATCTGTGTGTCTGCTTCTGTTTACTAAGTTTGTGTGACTGCCACATTCACTTGGGTGGGACATTAAAGTTATTTTCGAGTTTAAAAACTATTCGGTTATGTTAACTAAACAGTAATTCTTGCTACATAAGCCAGTTCTTTTTTTTTCATTTGGAAACTTTTTACTTCAAATTTTGTAAAAATTCTGACTTTTAGAGACATGCTAGGAGTCAAGAGGCCTAGATTCAAATTCCAACTGTGCTAGGTACTGTCCATGGCACTTTGAGCAGCACATTGACCCTCTTTGGACCCCAGTTTTCTCATCTGCTGTATGAAATTAGGTGGTAATCAAATTCTAGTGACTGCAGATCAATAAAGACCTGTGAGATCCTGGGAGCATGCTGTCTGGTGTCAAGTAGAGGAAATGACTCGATCCCAATAAAGTATCAGTATTTTGCATTATCTTGTAATTTTTAAATGTATGAGTTTCAGGCAGAGGTGTCCCCTGTAACTGTTAATTATTGCTGCCCAACATTTTGCTCAAGTCAGTGATTCTCAACTGGCACCCAACCCTTCCTGCCCCTCTCTTCCCCAACATTAACAAAACTGAGGAACCTGTGTGAAGAAAACAACAGCACTTGTCAAATCAATGCAATCCCTATCAAATTGCCAACGGCATTTTTCATAGAACTAGAAGAAAACATTTTACAATTTGTATGGAAACACAAAAGACCCAGAATAACAAAAGCAATCTCGAGAAAAAAAAAACAGAGCTGGAGGAATCAGGCTCCCTGACTTCAGACTATACTACAAAGCTACAGTAATCAAGACAATATGGTACTGGAACAAGAACAGAAATATAGATCAGTGGAATAGGATAGAAAGCCCAGAGATTAAACCCATGCACCTATGGTTACCTCATCTATGACAAAGGAAGAGAGAATATACAATGGAGCAAAGACAGCCTCTTCAATAAGTGGTCCTGAGAAAGCTGGACAGCTACATGTAAAAGAATGAAATTAGAACACTCCCTAACACCATACACAAAAATAAACTCAAAATGGGTTAAAGACCTAAATGTAAGGCCAGACACTATAAACCTCTTAGAGGAAAACATAGGCAGAACACTCTTTGACATAAATCGCAGCAAGATCTTTTTTGACCCACCTCCAACAGTAATGAGAGTAAAAACAAAAATAAACAAATGGGACCTAATTAAACTTAAATGCTTTTGCACAGCGAAGGAAACCATAAACAAGACAAAAAGACAACCCTCAGAATGGGAGAAAATATTTTCAAACAAAGCAACTGACAAAGCATTAATCTCCAAAATATACAAACAGCTGATACAGCTCAATATCAAAAAAGCAAACAACCCGATCAAAAACTGGACAGAAGACCTAAATAGACATTTCTCCAAAGAAGACATACAGATGGCCAGCAAACACATGAAAAGATGCTCAACATTACTAATTATTAGAGAAATGCAAATCAAAACTACAATGAGATATCACCTCACACCGGTCAGAATGGCCATCATCACAAAATCTACAAACAATAAATGCTGGAGAGGGTGTGGAGAAAAGGGAACCCTCTTGCAGTGTTGGTGGAAGTGTAAATTGATGCAGCCACTATGGAGAACAGTATGGAGGTTCCTTAGAAAACTAAAAATAGAGCTACCATATGACCCAGCGATCCCACTACTGGGCATATACCCTGAGAAGACCATAATTCAAAGAGAGACATGTACCACAGTGTTCATTGCAGCACTACTTACAATAGCCAGGACATAGAAGCAACCTAAATGTTCATCAACAGAGGAATGGATAAAGATGTAGTACATATATACAATGGAATATTACTCAGCCACAAAAAGGAACGAATTTGGATCATTTGTAGAGGTGGGGATGGACCTAGAGACTGTTATACAGAGTGAAGTAAGCCAGAAAGAGAAAAGCAAATATATATTAACGCATATATGTGGAACAACCTAAATGTTCATCAACAGAGGAATGGATAAAGATGTAGTACATATATACAATGGAATATTACTCAGCCATAAAATGGAACGAAATTGGATCATTTGTAGAGGCGGGGATGGACCTAGAGACTGTTATACAGAGTGAAGTAAGTCAGAAAGAGAAAAGCAAATATATATTAACGCATATATGTGGAATCTGAGACCAATGGTATAGACGATCTTATTTACAAAGCAGAAATAGAGACACAGACATAGAGAACAAACATATGGATACCAAGGGGGAAGTGGGGGGGGGGGGGATGAATTAGGAGATTGGGATTGACATATATACACTATGATACTATGTATAAAATAGATAACTAATGAGAACCTACTGTATCACAGGGAACTCTACTCAGTGCTCTGTGGTGACCTAAATGGGGAGGAAATCAAAAAAAGAGGGGATATATGTATATGTATAGCTGATTCACTTTGCTGTACAGTAGAAACTAACACAACCTTGTAAAGCAACTATACTCCAATAAAAATAAAAATAAAAACAAATGGAGTGACCACCCACTATGTACCCCAAGGGAAGATTATTTTATTTTTATCTATAATTATTAAATTTTATTAAATTAGAATAAGAATCCATAGACAAGTTATGGTGGAACTCAGAGCCATGGAATCAGACCCTAGCCTATATAAACTGTAGCGTGGGAGGGGTGGGCATAATTCAGTTGGCCGTACCAAGACATTGGATAACTCTTTGGAAAAAATATACATATTTAGATCCTTATCTTACACCATATAACGCAGATGGTTGAAGAATTAATTGTCAAAAATCTCCATTAGAGATTATAAATAGTCTTTGAGTGGCTGGGGAAGACCTTTCTAAAATTAAAATTTTTAGAAGAAATTATGAAAGGAAAGATAGATTTAATTGGATCAAACTTCTGTATTTTGGGACGTTCTCTTAACAATGAGAAAAATTTTTTATTTGCTTAAGAAAAAGTACAACAAATAAACAAAGAATCCATGTCCTGAACATATAAAGAGCTCCTACACACTGATAAAACAGTATATAATTGATAACATAGGAGGAATAGACCGTTCACGGAAGAATGCAAGTGCCAGATAAGACAAAAAAGTGTTCAACCTCATTAGTAATTAAAGAAATGAAAAAAAAAAAGAAATGAATATTTTAAAAACTGTTATTTTTTTACCCATCAAATTAGCAGAGATTAAAAAACTGATAATACTCAGTGCCCGGAGGGAGTTACTCCTATACTGATGTGGAAACGTAGATCATTACAACCTTTCGGGAAAAGTTTGATCTTAAAGTGTAAATACTTGGATCTACTAGTTCCCCTTCTAGGAATAATTCCGCAGAAAATAAACAGAGGTACAGGCAAAGATTTTAGACCACAAATACATCCAGTACAATATGAGTTAGAAAAAAAAATGGAAAAAAAACATACATTCATTAGAAGAATGGCTCAATAAATAAGTATATATCTATATGATAGAATATGTAGTATTAGAATATTTAGGCAGAATTTTTAATCTCAGGAGGTGCTCTTTTACGTAAAAGGCAGCCTTTGTTATTGTGTGTGTGTGTGCACATATACATACATACATACATATATACACATGTGTATAGAAGGAAAAAAATACACAGAAAATGATTAGAAGGAAGTATGCCAAAATATTAACAGTAATTGCCTCTGGGTCATGTCCTTATGAACTCTTATTTTCTCCCTACTTCTTACTTTTTCTTACTTTCCCAATTTTTTACAGGAAACTACAATACGTTAATAATCAGGGAAAAGATAAACTGAAAAAGAAAAAACAATGTTTAAACACGTAAATGAAAGCTTCTTGAGTGTGAAAGGAATATGAGATCAAGAAGGGAAAATGGTAATACTCAGTGTGAGATGTGGCTGAGTTTAGTTTTTAAAATAGCAGCACGCCAGGCCTCTGGAACTCATCAGTATGCAGTTTACTTTGTAAAATGTGTACCACTGTAATCAGAGGTTGTCAGGTGTTTTCTCCCCCAGGTAATAATTCTTTTGACTAAAACCCTCAGCCAGATAATGCCTGGTAAACTGAATAGCCCAGTCTGTTTTCACCATACCAAAAAAGAAACTTGATAAGAAATATTTTAAAGTTCTCAGTATAGATTCAAACTAGCGCGTTAGCCAGGCTTCCATTGATTGAATAAATATTTAACAAGCAAGCACGAGGCTATGTATCAGGTACTGTGCTAGGAACTAGAGATTCAGTTAACTTACCAGCTAGACTGACTTCATATTTATTTAGGTTAGGACTATTTATCCCAATTAATTATCACTAATTTTCTTCCTAATTAGTGTCCTTTTAACCTCCTTAGCTGGTAAAGAAATGCAAATTAAGCAAGATGGTGATGACTATTAGGCCACCACCTCACTCCTCCAGTTGCTTCCAGGATCCAGGCATATCCTATACAAGTAAACACAAATAAAGGGCCACGGATTATGCATGAACATGGACAGTGAATAAACTGGAAGCCCTCAAAATACACATCTTTAAGTAGTTTACATATTCCTTTCACAGACATTTATTGAGGATCTACTGATGTGCTAATATGTCCTTGTGCTGAGTGCTGATGGGCACACAGATAAATGAGCCACCTGCCCTCAAAGTGTTTGTTAGGGGGCACACAAAATAACTATAATATGGCAAATCCTGTGGCTGAGACTGGGCTTTTGATTTTGTATTGGTTTTCTGTGTTTTTCAAAAGAGATCAATAATTACATGCATCTATTAGGCAAAATCAAGTTGAAGGACACAGTGTTTATTGAGAGCTTGCCCGGCACTCTACTAGGTGCTTTTACATGTGATAACTCATTGACTCCTCATGGCCTACAATCTGCATTTGAGGACATGACAGAGCAGGTTCAATAAGACCACCATTGCCAGATAGAGAAAGTGGCAGAACCTGAGATTTATCCACAAGTTGCTGACTTTGACATTCATATTTCTTCCACTTCTACTCTGCTGCTTTTCTAAACCAAAGTTCTGGTCTTAATGAACTCATCTGTCTGGAACATCATGAAATCTGTATGCCAAGCTGACCCATGTCACTCTTCCTTCCCCCTCCCCCTGCACCCTGCTCATACTTCTCTTGTGGCGATCACAGCCCCTGCTCTCCCAGTTTACAGGCTCGTCCGGCCCAATAACTTGAGGCCTCCTTGAGGAGAAAGTGTTCTTCATCTTGAGGGCCATTGACACTTAGACAGCACGTACCATAGAGTAGTGATCATCTGCTGAAAAGAGAGATTTTTTTTAAATTAGTAACTCCAGTTAATAAGCATTGAGGAGAAGTGAGCCTTTGTTTTAAAAAATTCATGACATCTGTCAGCTTATACCCAGCACTCTGTGCCAGAATTTACAGGGGTGGGAAGTCAGGGAGTGGAAAAGCAAAAGTAGGAAGGAAGGCATGGTGGGGAGAGAATTTTATCATTAATCAAAATATGAGTTCTGGCACCTTTTTTTTTAAAAACCACTAACAAGTCAGTAGAATTAGAAAGTACTGAAAGAGTGTGCCCACCAAAGAGAAAATGGGCATTCCCCTACCTGTCCATATTTAATCAATGTCTGTTTTCCCCATATAATCACTTCTAATTTCTTATTCACTCAGTCCAGCCCCACAAGACTGCTGGCCTTTGTTAACACCTGCTTCACAGGAAAGGACACAGAATGCAGAATAGCCATGTCCCTTTTTGAACCTTCTGCATCTTAAGACTCTTCCCTTTGCTACCTCCACCTCTTCTACTTTTCAAACTCTCCCACCATCACATCCACTAGTTAGAAAAAGAGCACTACAAAATAAACAAATTTGGGGGAAAGAATCTGTTGCTCACACCTGAACCCAACACACCTGCTTCATTAGGATGGTGTAGTGCTAGGGATGCGTGAGAAGTTGATTCACAGTGTAGAGCTTCGGGCTCCAGCTATCAAGCAAAAGCTTTATGTAATGAAAATCAGAATTTGCTCAGTCATGTTCAGGTTTTATGCTTTTAAAGTTTTAAACTTTTCATGTTTTTCAGGTTCACTTTTTTGGCTATTTTTTAAACCTTTTAAATCCTGAAGAAAAACTATTACTGGGAGTTACAAATTTGCTACATCTACAAACTGTAAATCATAATCCCTAATTAAGTGGTTACAGGTATCCAGTTCATGTTATAAACACTCACTTTGTATGAAGGTTGCGAGATGTGTTTTGTATGTACTTATTACTGAAATTCTACCCTGATTATTCCTGCAGATCAAGAAGTTCTACGCAAATTAGAGAAGGAGAAAATCCTGGTGTTCACACCGTCCCGGAGAGTGCAGGGGAGGCGAGTGGTGTGCTATGATGACAGGTTCATCGTGAAGCTGGCGTTTGAGTCGGATGGTATAATTGTATCCAATGATAACTACAGGGATTTGGCAAATGAGAAACCAGAATGGAAAAAGTTCATAGATGAGCGACTATTAATGTATTCATTTGTCAATGACAAGTAAGTAAAACCACTTACTTACAGTAACACTGCTTCTCTGAAAATATAACTATCCCTGGGCAGCTGCTACAGAAGCCCTCTCTCTTTGCCACTGACCAGACCTAAGACAGTTTCTTCCAACCACTAATCCTCAGTGAGAGTAAGAAAACGGCAGAGTCCTGCCTCGGGAGGCCCTGTGTGAGTCGCAGGCTGCCCTTCCCCATAAGTGACTAGCAGAGCAGGTCTTCTGCGGCTGAGTGACTGGAAGTAACTGACACAGGGAGACTGGCCATCTTCAGAGGATGCAGATGTAGAACATACTGACCGGTAGAACCCTGCCTTTTGAAATCGACTTAGAGCATTGAGAACTTACTTCAATATACGATTTTTGAAATATATGATTTTTAAAAATTTAAAGCAATATAAGACTAGTCACGATTAAGTTGATGAATGGACAGGTGACATGAACAAGATTGTCTCCTGAGAAATAAGTACCCAAGGATCAGTGCACCCACACAGTTCAAACCCATGTTTTCCAAGGGTCAACTGTATTTACAAATATGTGGGAAAGGCTCACCTGTTGATCATCAAAAATGCAAACTAAATCTACAAAGGGTATATTTTTTCACCCATTTAATCCATAAAATTAAAAAACTTTTTTGCATATGCCTTATGCCGATGCAGGGGACACGGGTTCTGCCCCGGTCCAGGAAGATCCCACGTGCCGCGGGGCGGCTGGGCCTGTGAGCCATGGCCACTGAGCCTGCGCATCCGGAGCCTGTGCTCCGCAACGGGAGAGGCCACAGCAGTGAGAGGCCCGCGTACCGCAAAAAAAAAAAAAAAAAAAAAATACCCTCTCAAACCAATAATCTCATTGCTTAGAGTATATAATGAGGAAAAAAGGAAGCCCAAATATGTTCATTTCTGTATATTTATAATTGCAAGACTTCAAAGGCAACTAAAGGTACTATAGAGAAAACAATTAAATTGCAATACATGTCCTAGTGAAATATTATTCAGCTATTCAGAATTATGATTATGAAAGCTGTTAAGAAACATGGAAAAATATTTCTGTTAAAAAGACAAAGCATAAAATTACATCTGTGTTTGTAAAGTGATATGTACATACAGGAAAATGACTAAAATGCAACACGTAACTGGAAAATAATTGTGTTAAGATTGTAGGATTGAGTGATTTTGTCTTCTATTTTTAAACTTTTCGTGTTGCCATATTGTTTTTATAATAATCTTAAACATCATAGTTGCTAAGTGTTATTACTCAGGCATGTTGACACTCCCTTAAGAGTTCAAACATTATTCACATTTTATGGGTAAACACTTGGTTTATTTCATGTTCAAACAGTGACATAACTAGTAGTCAAACTGCAATCATAACCTTGTTACAGTATTCATGCCATGAATTCTTGCTTCCATTGGACAATCAATCCAAAATAATAAGTTTATTTTCTTAAGATTTTTTTCTGTCTCAGCTGAGAAATACCTTATTATAGGGGGAAGAGAATGAATGTGGAATTAGACAAATTGAATCTTGACTAGGCCATGTGAACAGAGATAAAAATACTCAATTCATCTAAGCCTAGATTAGAAAAGTGCATTCATCTGTAACGTGGGACTAACACTTCAAGGGAATATTGTGAGGATGAGATGTAGTGATGTGTGCAGGGTGTCCAACATGTACTAGGTGTTTGGGTAGTTTCAGTCTTCCCGTTCCTCTCTCCCACCTCTCCCTTCTGTCCCTCAGCTGCTCCTCCTGGCGCCCACCTGCCTCATATTGCTTCACAAGATTAATGTTCATAAAACTCCTCCTAAAATGTCATTGTAGTCATTTTCTAAAGTCCTTACAAAATCCCAAGACTAAGAAAAGGAAGAATTAATTAGAACATGGTAGGCTCAAAACTTACTTGAATTAAAACAAATACAGGTTCAGCTCGAAACATTTTAATTTTGTTTTCATTAAGAAAAGAAAACTTCCTGTACTGTTTTTTTATCCTATAAATGTTTTATTATCTTTTTAAATTTATTCATTTATTTTTGGCTGCGTTGGGTCTTCATTGCTGCACGCAGGCTTTCTCTAGTTGCGGCGAGCTGGGGCTACTCTTCGTTGCGGTGCGCAGGCTTCTCTGCGCGCAGGCTTTCTCTAGTTGTGGCGAGCGGGGACTACTCTTCGTTGTGGTGCGCAGGCTTCTCACTGCGGCGGCTTCTCTTGTTACAGAGCATGGGCTTTAGGCACGCAGGCTTCAGCAGTTGTGGCACACAGGCTCAGGAGTTTTGGCTCACAGGCTCTAGAGCACAGGCTCAGTAGTTGTGGCGCACGGGCTTAGTTGCTCCACGGCATGTGGGATCTTCCCGGACCAGGGCTCAAACCCGTGTGCCCTGCATTGGCAGGCGGATTCTTATCCACTGCGCCACAAGGGAAGTCCCTATCCTATAAATGTTGAATCAAAATACTTGGATTAAAATTTCAAAAAAATACCTTGGGGTGAATAATCTTTACACTCTGTCTTTAGAATTAAATTGTCAGCCTCCTACTTAGGTATAATTTTGTATTATATCCATGACAGGTTCATGCCCCCAGATGACCCTCTTGGCAGACATGGCCCAAGCCTGGATAATTTTCTGAGGAAGAAACCTATTGTTCCTGAACACAAAAAGCAGCCTTGTCCATATGGTAACTTTCTTTATGAGTATTTAATACATGCCTTTAGAACACAATGTTGTTAAACTTTTGCTGTTAAAAATAAATTTTGGATGGCATATAGTATGTGGTTCTTTTGAATGTAATTAAATTTAAGAAAAAGTCTATGTGAAAAAATTATTATTTTTACCTAGCTGGGTTCAACGCATATGCATTTCCCTGAATTAAAACATGGTTTTGGTTAACTCTACATGAAGTAAGTTTTCAGGTAGATAAAAATTTGGAGTTCTTTCATCTAGCTACACATCAGATTAGCTTGGTTTTGTCACATCACGGCAGTACATTATGTTCTGCAAAACAGAATGTCCTACTGATTGCAGAGTCATAGTGGAAGAGAAGAGGCAGGTAGGAATTAAGGACACAGGGTATTAACCAAAACTCTGGAGGTGATTGTTACTCATTCAGCCAACTTTCTTATTGCTCTTGATAGTGCCGACAGGGGAAGACTGAAAGGCGGCATTTCTCAGAAACAAGTAGCGGAGTAGCAGTGAGCACAGCTCTCATTTCTGCCCTTGTTTCTTCTTCACGTTAAAAGAGCAGTGCCACACTGGGTGTCCAGGGTCTGATGGAATGAATGGCCCTTTGCCTAACTGATTTTACTCTTCACAGGAAAGAAGTGTACCTATGGACACAAGTGCAAATATTATCATCCAGAAAGGGGCAGTCAGCCTCAGCGGTCAGTGGCTGATGAACTGCGTGCCATGTCTAGAAACACAGCAGCCAAAACTGCAAATGAGGGAGGACTGGTGAAAAGCAACAGTGTCCCCTGCAGCACTAAAGCCGACAGCACTTCCGATGTTAAGCGAGGTGCTCCAAAGAGGCAATCGGATCCAAGCATAAGGACTCAAGTCTACCAAGACCTAGAGGAAAAGCTTCCCACCAAAAACAAACTGGAAACCAGGTCTGTACCTTCCTTAGTTAGTATACCGGCTACTTCTACCGCAAAACCCCAAAGCACTACATCTTTAAGCAATGGCCTTCCATCTGGAGTTCATTTCCCACCTCAGGATCAAAGACCACAGGGACAATATCCTCCAATGTTGATGGCAACCAAAAATCATGGAACGCCAATGCCTTATGAACAGTATCCAAAATGTGACTCGCCTGTCGACATTGGATATTATTCCATGTTGAATGCATATTCAAATCTGAGTATCTCAGGCCCACGAAGTCCTGAAAGGCGTTTCTCCTTAGACACAGACTATAGGATAAGCTCTGTCGCCTCTGACTGCAGCAGTGAAGGGAGCATGAGCTGCGGGAGCAGTGACTCGTACGTGGGGTACAGTGACCGCTCCTACGTCAGTTCTCCTGACCCACAGCTGGAGGAGAATCTGAAGTGTCAACACATGCACCCTCACAGCCGCCTTAATTCTCAGCCCTTCCTGCAGAATTTCCACGACCCCTTAACCAGAGTGCAGAGTTACAGTCACGAAGAACCAAAGTACCATCACAAACCTCCCCTCCCACACCTGGCCGTACACCTGCAGCACGCCGCCGTGGGGGCCCGGTCCAGCTATCCTGGCGATTACCCGTCTCCTCCGAGTTCAGCGCACTCGAAGGCACCACACCTGGGGCGGTCCTTGGTGGCCACGAGAATAGACAGCATTTCTGACTCTCGGCTGTATGACAGTTCTCCTTCCAGACAAAGAAAGCCTTACACCCGCCAGGAAGGGCTGGGAAGCTGGGATAGGCAGAGCTACGGGATCGACGTGTACGGCTACCGGCAGACTTATTCTTTGCCTGACACCTCCACGCAGCCGTGTTACGAGCAGTTCACCTTCCAGAGCCTCCCTGAGCAGCCGGAGCCCACCTGGCGCATCCCGTACTGCGGAGTGCCGCAAGACCCCCCCAGGTACCAAGACAGCAGAGAAAAGATTTATATCAACTTGTGCAACATCTTCCCACCTGACCTTGTGAGAATTGTCATGAAAAGGAACCCTCACATGACAGACGCCCAGCAGCTGGCTGCAGCCATTTTAGTGGAGAAATCACAGCTGGGTTATTGAAAGATGATGCATCTTTGTGGTGTTTAGTAGTTTTTTGTTCAGCTCAAATGCTGAGGGAGGTTTGCTACAATAGCACATGTGATCTCCTTCTCAGCAAGGAGGTTATATAGTATCCATTTATGTGAAATACTGTATCATGGAATCTGTATGTATCGCCCCACATAGTGGAAGTATCACGGGATTGCTTTACATTCAAACTTTTTTTTAATATTTCCTTTTTAAAGCTATATCCTTGGCTGGAAATTTTTCCAGTTTGATTTATTAGATGTATCTGTGATCTTTGATATTAATCTTTGGTGCATCAGGGGTTTATATGCAGCACTTTTTATCCTTGTTTCATGTTTTATTAACTTGGTGTTTGTCTATCAATTGCAAGCAATTACAATACCTTCAGAATGTTGAACATTTGACTAGACCTAGCAAACTATTTTTTCAAGCCAAGCATAATTGGAATCTTTTACAGCTTTTTAAGTTATTTTTATTTGGGGAAAGTGGGCTTCTTTGTGCTATAATCATTATTTATAGAAACAAAGTTATATACTACAGCACTGACTTTATATTTTAAACAAAATGAAAGTTACCAGTTTATGTTGAAATGGGTAACAGTATATATTAGAATGATTTACAGTATGGCACTTTTCGTTGTTTTATTTTCGTTTGGATTTTCTGTGTTAAGTAATTTGTTAATTTAATATGGTTGATTTAAAGGAAAGCAGATGCAATCAATGGAAAAAATTGTTTCCATTTTTTTTTTTTATAAAAAAGGCAAAAGCCATCAACTGTTACAGTTTAGAGCTTTGTTATCCAGCTATGATGTGCTTCTGGACAGTAGAAATGGAATTGAATTCCTAGACTTCCATTAACCTGTATTTTTTAATGTGTTTGTCTTTTTGTTTTGGGGCACAATACTGGATAAAATAACCCTTTTGCAGTACTTGCCTGTTTTTAACGAATCTAATCATTCTCAATGCAACTTTTATATTTAATATACCCTTTAGCTTTCCTGCTATTTATCAAGGCTGGCCTGAGGTGGTTTTATGTGTTGAGGATATGCAACATTTATTGATACTGCACTATAGAAATGGTGATGCAGGAGTTGTAAATGGTAACTTAAAATTTTTGTAAAATACTGTATATTTTCCATTTTCCTGAAGGTAGTTTTTTGGGGGGGCCTGTTATATTATTAAGGCCAGATTCTTGCCACAAATAGTGTAGTTTTAGATACAGACTAAAGTCTGTTCTCGTATTAGTAAGGGATATTTCTGGTTTCAAAGTCATGGGTTTTGCTGAGCGTGGATTCGTTTCTGTCGCTGGTTAGAAGAGAGATGATGCAATCAGTGGCAGACAATTGTGTGACTGACACGACTTCACCTCTGCCTCCAGTTTTTGAATTTTACTTAGTGTAGCAGACGCATTCCGATCTGTTTCTGGAGTGTGCCGAGATGCCCTGGTTATCCTTATTATTCTACCTGCTACAGTTTGAAGTAAAGCCCTGAAAAACCAGAAAGTACCTTTTACTGTTGATACAAATTGTATCTTTTTAACTATAAGAACTATTTTGATTTGTAGATCTAGTTAAAACACAGATGTGTAACTATGATTAGACTTTTGGGCAACATTTTATCCCTTATTTAAATACAAATTTTTAAAGTAAAATTGAGGTCTAGAATAGGATAGAAAATAAAAACAATTTAGGTAAATAAAAGTGTCTGTCTTAGTTTTATATATTAAAATATATTAAATGAATTTATTGGCATTTTCTTTCTCCTAAAACTTATCTAGCGTGAACTTAACTTAAAATAAAGGTAAAATGCTGCCTGAAAATAACGTCCAAGCACCTTTGACTAGGACAACATTTTCACTACTCGTGTGACACTGTGTGTCGCATGAAGTAGGATTTGGGTTACAGTAAATGCTTCTAAAAGGCATTGTGCATATTGACATATCCAATAATCTGAACCATGTTCAGCAAACCTAATTCAGGAAAGTGGGGTTCACAGTCGCTGCTGCCGCCTGCTAGGTGAGGTGCCCCTCGCTGCGCCCGCAGAGGATACGGGCACGGCCGCATGGACCCACCGAGGCGTCCTCTGAGCGACCTGCTCACTTGTGAAATCGTTCTCCTGATTTTGTCGGTCACTCTCTGTAACAAGTTTAATGTAGATGCTAACCCAGTGCCAAAAGTAGAGTTACAAACGTGGAGTACCTTTCATCTCAGTCTTATTCTAAGCTTGCTTTTTTTTTTAGTATGAAATCATTTTTAAATTGTACAAGTAGGTTTTGCTTCCATTTTCTTAATTTTTGCATTTGAATTATTTGAAGATTCTGCCAAATTTTATGAAATTTCTTTAAATGAGGTCTTCGGTGAAATGTGTAACACACCCTTTAATTTGACCTCCTAATGTCTGTAGCTAAGTAGCTCTCATTGCTTTCCGGATTTTAGACTATGAAAAAACAGTGGGGCTTGCCGCCACATGGCCTGACGTGAATAGCTCTGAATAGTCACGCTGAAATCCTGCAGTGTAGTTGACTGTGAGTTAAGAAATAGTTTTCTTATGTCAACAGGAAATTTGTCCCACCCCACCCGCGCTTTTTTTTTTGAAGCACCGATGTTGCTTTCAGAGCTTAAGAATGAGATATTTGGCTGACTTTAGATGCAGCAATTTCTTAATTATCTAAAGCAATAAGTAAAAGGATCCATCATTAATTAAATTCAGAGCTGATCCCAAAACTTCATTTTAGCCAAAACTTTCACCTTAATCGTATCTTCAGACTTGCTAACAAATAACCGGAGAGAGGTATGTTAGTAAGTAGTAGAACTGCCAGAAGTGGTCAACTGATAGAAGAGGAGGATTCAGATTGGAATATTCTGCCCCTGAATAATTGACAGTTGACTGTTTTACACAGTAACTAGCCGGTTTGTTGTCTCTGTGTCTTAGTACAGAGGGAGTAGTACCCAACTGGCCAAATTCTGGCCCTTAGTATTTCCTCCTTTCTTGCATGTGACATCTAAGTTTTCAATCTCCTTTTTGTGATCACTGTATCCTCATAGAGTTTGTCATTGACCTAAACATTTGAAAGAAATGCACACCAGTATAAAATATTTGATACTGGTAGAAACTTGAACTTTGTGTTTTTATGAAAATTCATTTATGAGAATATGTAATATAACTAAAAAGAGTGTTTTTATATATATATACATACATGCATACATATTTGTTAAGAAGTATTAAAAATGGGAGAATGCTACGCTTTTGATGGCTAAGTTTTCCTTAATTGAACTGTTTCTTTGAGTTATGGACAACCAAGTCTGGAGTCTGGATGACCAATGATAAGATTTAGAACCACTTGAATGGAAAGCAACTCTTTACTGGCTTTATTCCTGGTATTTTTAAAGAATTATTTTGATAATTTTAATAGAATGTGTAATTTTAAAACACACAAAAAAACTTAAAGTAGTATTGCTTATACAGATAATTATTTAACATGTCTTTTATGGACGTATCTATATGTATATAGACAGTAATATATTTATAAAACAAATATACTCTATGTTGTAGTCATTAGTTTGTAATAGGTGGGAAGATGGCCCTGGATATGTTTGTGTGTGTTTTGAAAACTCTTGAGCTGTTTTTCCCCTGACTTAATGGCATATACCCTAAGGGATATTTGTTTTTTATTATTCTTTTTGCTATTCAACTTCCTTATTCAAGATAAAATAAGATGTACAGTTTCCCGGCCATTCTGTTAGACGTGGCTCATCCATTTTATTATCCTCCAACTCCTGGAAAATTCCTGAGTGACCTGGAATCAAACAGGTTATGGCCAGAGAGATCAGTTATGTTCCAAATATGTTAAACATGGGAACTCAGCTGGGATGTTGAGCTTCTTTGGTATACACCAACAAATAAAATGAAGTATAAAATACATGAACTACACACGTGCATTTGAAGAAGAGAAAGCAGAGTGTTCATAAAAGTAGAGAAACATATGCGTTATTTTAGATTGCTCTGGGAAACCCCCTAGGGCAAGGGTTGACAAACTTTTTCTATAAAGGATGGGATAGTAAATAATCCAGGGCTTTGAGAATCATATGGTCTCTATAAACCACTCACCTCTGCCCTTACGGTGTAAAAGCAGCCACAGAAAATATATAAGTGAACGGGTGTGGCTGTATACCAATGAAACTTTATTTTACAGAAAGGGGCAGCAGGCCCGATTTGGCCTGTGGGCCATAGTTTGCTGATTCCTGCCCTAGAGGGAGAAAAACAGGCATGTTAAGCAGTAAATCCTGATATATGTTAACGTAAGAAATAATTATATTTTAGTTGGCATTCAAAGAAAATCCATTATTGATGGCCTTCGAAAGATTTGTGAGACAGTCACATATGAAAGCATCTTAATCCACTTATGTTTTTTGCCTGGTCACACCCATTATTTATTAGAGATATTTCTTGTGTTTAACCACCCAAAAAAAGCATTGTGTAAAAAGATGTTGTAATAATTATTGGAGTTTTTTCATGACCTTTCTATTTCTACTGATAAATGGGAATCCTTACCTGCCTTTTGTTTTTTTAAGGGCCTAATGGACCAAAAATTCTGTTGTGTTTTGAAAATTAGCATATAATTAGCCATAAAATATTGTAAAGACTGCATTTATCAGTTACATTTTTCTGCTAGTTTTTGATTTCTAAAAAATGACAGATCAAAAATGGTTTTAAAGTAGATCAACATATTGTAAGTTTACATACTGTAACTTTATTCTGTAAAATTAAAAATTGTGACTAGTGTAATTGTGAGTGCACTTGCTGTATTGTGACTCTCTTTATAGGAAACAAAGTGTATCCCTGCTTTCTCTGTCCAAACCTTTAGTATAGATTTTTTTAAGACACTTTAGGACTGTCCTTGGTGAATGATATTCTTAACATTATCCTGTGTGATTTTAAATTCATTGGAGTACACACCACTGAGCGTGTTCATTCACAGTGCTTCATAAATTGTGTTAACATCGTAATATCATTTCCACTGGAACAGTAAAGTTTTGAACATTGCCATCCACTTAAGTAATTATACTTTCTTTTAGGATTGGAGTATAACTCTAGCTTTTAACAGGTGTTTACTGTTTTAAATGGTTAATTTTTTTTCTTTAATGCCTTCTGTTCACCTGCTTTTTGCTTCCGTTATAATAACACTTTCGTGTGTTGGAAGCAGCTTTTTCCCTGAGGTCTTTAGTCTTTAAAGGATTTAAAAACAATTTAAGGTTTTGACCACTTGACAATTGGGCAGTAAAAAAAAAAAAAAAAAAAAAAAAAAGTCTGTGCATGTTTCAATTCAATTTTATAGAATGTGTAAAATTTTTTAAACCATGTACCCAATTTGCCAATTTTCTGTCCAGATATTTCAGGTGAATAACAAACTATTCATTAAAGCTTTTGACCCCTTTCTTGAAGCAGCTTGTGCCTCAAGGGAAGAAGACATTGAAGAGCAATGGTTTGTTTTTATAAAGAATATGTTTTAGATTTCCTAAAGTTTTTGGAAATTATAAACGTCCCAGCTAATACACACATGCACACTTCCGCAGAGATGTGGACATGGCATTGCCAGTGAACCCAGTTACTGATTTTATCTTTTCCTTCTAGGTTTTCTCCTCCCAAACCAGAGTTGTTTGCTGAGCGTAGAAGTTCCAGTTTGATCCTTCAAACTTTTCTTATAAGAAAATAAGACAAAGAATATGTTTAGAGCATCCGTCTGATAAACTGA